TAAAGCTCATGTGAACGGCAGTCCAGCAGGAGCAGAGAAGTGCCTCCGGACTCTAACTCGAGTTGCAGCCATTCCACGCTTTTACTCGGCGTCACATTAGACATATCGGACTCAATATCATACTACATGCAAGCACAAACACTTACTACATGGTCCACCAGTCGACGATAAACTACATTTCAGCCGAAAAAAAAGAAGCATTAAATGTTGCTCCGCCAGTGCATGGCGCTTCAGCGAAGAGATTTCCCCTTTTTTCTCTTCTCTATTTCCATCAGCCAGTCACTCTGACCTGCCCCGGGGCTGAAGGAGACCTGCTTATACTTTAATTTACGATACACACGTTTAAACGTGAATGATTTATAGCCAATATCTCTTCATCAACTCTTCAACTACTCCACACCGTACCAGGGTCCTCCATGCACATTCTCGTCTTACCATTCCGATGCATGGGAGGCTTTTTTTTAGTTGACAGTAGAGCAACTCAAGAGGGAGGAGTTTATTTCTTATGATTTAAAGTCATAGCAGAACTATCACAAAGTTTAGTCTCAATGGAATTATTTTGCAAATTACCATTTGGTCAATCACCTTCATCATATTTTTAAACCATTGTTTGTGATATTATAGCAAGTTTATAATAACTTTTAAAGGGGGTTGTTATCACTAACAACTAGTAATTATGATTCCAGTATTTTTCCTTGTAGGGATTACATTTGTTAATTTCATCGCTTTCAAATATCCTTGTAGTGACCTTGTGTAACTTTATTACTTATTAATAGTTGTATTTACTGTACATATTCCTCTATGGGCTCAAGGTTTGCCTGAGTGATTGTAACAGCTACCTTTCTTAATATTTGCATAGTTGCAGTTTGCATGATACTTATATTGTGAGAATAGACTCATACGGGGAGATTGCATAATTGCACATATTATGCATTATTGCTGAATAATTTACCTAACCTAAATGTTCTAATGATGCCATTTAAAAACAGATATCTCATTATATACTGTATATTATAATGCTATACTGTTTTATCTTGCACCATTATCAATGTACGTATATTGTGTAAATGAATCTAATAATACTAGTTATTTTATTTTTGTATGATTTACTTATTATTACAGAACTTTAAGTTTACTACAGTTTATTACACAGGTTTGCAAGAACAATTTACAATGAAATCAGACCCTCCCTTTAGTACACAACAAATGTGTTGAATCCATTTATTTTCCCCTTTGATGGACAAACTCAACTGTCTCACACTGCTGAATACTTTAAATTGGTTGTGCATCTATACAGGCGAACAGCTGAACATGTTATCCTATTTCATCATGATAATGTTTGTTTCCGTATTAGAAACACGTTTGTAAATGCTCTCTTTTTTGATTTTCATGTATTTACAAGGCGAAGCACTCAAGGAACCCTGCTATATTACACGGTGACCACATAATGGAATTTGCAAGCATGTTGTTGTACATGATGGTCTTCCTTATAATGCAGGCACAACATTCCCATGGTTTGCTACTGATTGGTATAATAATACTGCAAGAGAATGGTGAATGGGGAGGAATAGGAGAGGGAGGGAGAAATGTGAACTGGGAATCCAGCCATGCAGCTCATCTGCCTGCACACGTGAGTGGGGGAGACACAGATGTGCAGAGCAGTGGGATTAACACAGAATGAGGAATAGAGCTAAACCTGTACACACACACACACACACACACACACACACACACACACACACACACACACACACACACACACACACACACACACACACACACACACACACACACACACACACACACACACACACACACACACACACACACACACACACACACACGCACACACACAGATCTCACACAACAACAGGCAACATATCATCGCCCCGCTACGCCACAGCAACATTTCAGCACCTGCCTCCAACATCCAACCACCAAATACTTTAAAGGGTGTGAAAACCAACACACACACACACACACACACACACACACACACACACACACACACACACACACACACACACACCACACACACACACACACACACACACACACACACACACACACACACACACACACACACACACACACTTCCTGTGGTCCCTCATACCCACATGATTGTCTCCTGGAAGTGTGTAGAGGTGTTGGACCTGTCCTCTGAATTTTCGCAATGGGCAAAAGAGCAGCCTGTATCTAGAAAAGACATTGATGGATGGAGGTAATAATGTGTGACAATGATGTCAAACAACACTCAGAGGAGTAACTCCTGCCAACAACACCTTACATTTACTGGATTCACTGTTCATGAAGCAATAGTTATATTAGGTAAGATGATGACCTTGTTTTTTATTTAAATCAAAGAATGAAATGGTGCAGTTGTGTAAGACCCTCTGAATGTGTGTCAAGATTTGAAATCCCAATCAACAACATCAACACAGCACATAACTGGAGTATTGATTCATGTTGTGAGTGGGCTTTAGCTATCATGGTGGTCACCTGACAGCTCCCAAAAACACTATGGTTACATAATGTGCTCCAAACGTGAGCTCATGGTAATTCACTCACAGGAAAGAGAGGATGGTCTTTGATTAACAGAATGCAAGGTTTCTGTATGTCAAGTGCTGCTTTGAGGGATTTCACACATACAGACACATAAACACACCCCTGTCACGTGCAGATGTACAGTGGGAAGCATTCAGAGATGAGACAGATGGGAGGAGAGCTTCCTCTTCATTGATGTTTCCCTGCATGTGGGAGTAAAGGGCTTTTTATTGAACTCGTTTTTATCTAAGCATGATAATCATAGGCCGGGATAGAAAATGTCTCACATCAATAGAAATGTTGATTCAATCTTGTAGGAAATAACCAGGCTGTTGCATTGATGACGGATACAACAGACGATTCATTGAATTGAATATGCTCTGTAATGTCTGATTTTGTATCCATGTGACACTGACACATGCAAAGGCACATGAAGTGTATATTCTGCAATGTATTACAACCGATTTGATCTCCCATGCTATCTAGATAGGAAACACAATATCCTGTTCTGTTTTGATACCATCTAGTGGTTCATGAGGAAAGCTGCTGCACCAGCTATGAGTCATCCGTAGAGGAAGGAGGTGCCTGGCTCACAGCCTCACAGCCTCACAGCTCACAACAGGAGACCCAGTGTGCCTCCATGTGGGGAAAGCAAGGAATGCAATTACATGCATTTCATGAATGAATGAACAAATGACCACAAATCTGCCCTTAAGCTGATTATACATGAACTCCAATCATGCATCTCTGTCTTTTTTCTAAACTACAAAGTTAAAAAAGAAAAATTCTGCAATTACGTAATGCATTTTATGTTGTTACTGTTAGAACTACCTATTACTTGTGTAGCATTAGTAAATAACATGAGGAAGCCACATGATGCATGATAAATGATCTGCAGAAGTAAGCATTGCCACATTTCTTAATATGTTATAACTGATATGAGATTAACCCTTCTGCCAAAAGCCCTACATCTAATGAAATAGTGTACATAATACATTACATGTATGTGCAGCAAATAACCTGGGTGTCATGATAAATATAAATATATCTGTGACACATTGCACCATATGATTTTAGATATGTTTCCCTATGAGTAGATATGAGTGCGAGATATTTTGTGCGCTCTGCTATCTCATTCACTGTATACTTGCAGATTATTGTAGCATGAGATGTCAAGAAAGATTATTCAAATTGGATGTTTGAAATGTGCATCCCTTTTTTTTTTTAAACAAAACATGCACATTTGCAACACATCAGAAAGACAACCCACCCAGAAATGCAACATAAAAAATATAATAAAACAATACATGATTTTGTTTGCTGATTTTAGCGTTTAGTTGTCATTTTAGTTGTAGTAATGAAACCTGAGTTGTTGCACTGAAACCTAGTGCTATATAAAAAGCCGTTATGTTTGTTATTAGAGTGATTGACTTGCATTTGTCATGATCCTGGTGTTATGTTTTCTTGTTTTAACCTTATAACCTTATACATCTTCACGGTCACTTAGATTCCTCCTTGTGGTCCCGAGGTCAACGTTGAAACAGCGGGGAGACAGGGCCTTTTCTGTAGCTACTCCCAGGCTGTGGAACGATTTGCCCCCCCCCTGATCAGACTTGCTCCCACTTTGCCTGTTTTTAAATCTTGTTTAAAGCCTACTTGTTCTCCTACTTGTTCTCCCGTGCTTTTTGAAGACCACGTATAAGACTTACAGTATCAGTCTGCACTTTTAAATTGGGTTTATAAGTATGGTTTTATTGTCTCGTGTTTTTACATTTGTTTTTTGTCCTATCAGTTTTGTCTAAATGTATTTATGCTATATATTTATTTATGTACAGCACTTTGGTCAACTCTGTTGTTTTTAAATGTGCTATATATATTAAGTTGGATTGGATTGTTTTCTTTTGTAATGTATTTTCTCCTTGTGTCTTCCTGTCTTTTGTTTCCCCGCCTGTGTGATTGTATGATTGTGTTCACCTGCTGCCCCTGTGTTTCACCTGCCCTCTCCAGCTGTGTCTTATATCTGTGGTTAGTCTTGTATATATATGCCTGTCTTCCCCAGTGTTCTCTCTGTTTGTTGTCTATGTTCCTGCCAGTGTCCCAGAGTTCCTGCCTGTGTTCCCGCTCTTGTCCCTCATGTCCTCCGGTCTGTACTTGTTTAAGTTTTCTTTGCTTTTGTTGTTTTGTTTGACCTAGTTCTGGTCCCCGTTATTTTTGTATCAGCTTTATTTAATAAAGCTCACTTTTTGTCTACACTTTTATACATGCCTCCTGTGTTTTAATGCGTGTTGGTCCAACTTGTGCTAAACCTGTAACAACATGATGTCAAATCTGCATGCAACCATATTTAAAAGTATGTTTTTAGTCATAAACAATACATTTAAGACTTAGCACACATACGTACACTTAACCCACACATTTATTATGAAGGTGACACAGAACATTCTTCTGTCCAAACATAGTAATATGTTTTATTTAAATAGAATACATATCTTTAATTCAGGAAGGTGGTGCTTGTTGGGATCAAGTGTTTATATGTGATTTCAGGCTACTGCTGATATCATGTGACTGAGGCCTGTGAAGTAGGACTTCTCCCTCTCACTCATCAGCTCCAAGTGAAGAGGCTGCTGGCAGAAGTCACACTCTGCTGAGGAGTGCGGCCTCAGCTCCATCCCCACCTCCTTCCACGTCTTCACCAGCCGGTCTGTGGAGACACAACAGAGAACAAAAAGCTGAGTATACAACAATCTTTGCCAAACATTGTAGACATAAGATATACCTAACATTTAAGTTTCAAATTGGGGTTTTAATTGTTTTCTAATGTAGCTATTGGACTTCAGAATTGCAATATTCCCTAAAATATATATATATATATATTTTTAATAATGCATCTTTTTTAATTTGACTAAAGAATTGTACTTTCACCCGAAATGTAATATACTCAGGAGTGCAAAGTCCAACACAAAATACTTCAGATATTTTAAGATAATAGGATATGCGTCATCATTTAAAGTGGGCATACCAACAAAGTAGAACATCATCTGGGGAGTGTGGTAAGGTGTGGGTGCGATGCGCAGCAGCTCCTCTCCTTTGGCCACAGTGGGGTAGTTGATTGCCTGGACGTAGATGTTGTAACGTAACATCATGATGTCACAGATCTCAGTGTTCTTCTCTGCATTTGCCACCTGCCAAACATTATAGTTCAGCGTCACATTTCTGCATCAACACCAGTTTATCGGATCAATTATTAGTTTCCTTACCCGAACAGGAATAATGTGGCTCGGGCAGTGGACCACCGGGAGGCCCGAGTCCATCAGCATCTGTCGGAGCAGCTTGACGCTCCTCTGATGTTTCCTCCTGAGCACCTGGCCTTCCTCACTTTTCAGGACCTTGATGGACTCCTTTGCCCCCGCCAGCACCATGGGGGGCAGGGAGGTGGTGAAGATGAAGCCTGCCGCGTAGGAGCGCACCGTGTCCACCAGGGCGCTGGTGCTGGCGATGTAGCCGCCCACGCAGCCAAATGCCTTTCCTGGAAACAAAACCCAAAACAAGTCAGAGAGGCACATATGGAACTGGTCAGAGTGTTAGGATATGTTTCCCCCCGTTATTGAGGGTTCAACTTACCAAGGGTACCAGAGATGATGTCCATCTTGTGCATGGCTCTGTCTCTGTCCCCGATCCCTCCTCCTCTGGGTCCATACAGGCCCACAGCATGGACTTCATCCACAAAAGTTATGGCACCAAACTTGTGGGCAATGTCACACATCTCCTCAAGAGGGCACACAGCCCCTGTAGAAAGAACAATTCTGCTTATTCCTATTCTTAATTTTAAGTCACATTATTTTGGGTGTGTATATTAAAGTAAGAAGTTACAATTTCCTGGCACTGACATGGAGGGATTGTCACTTACCATCCATTGAATGCACCGTCTCAAAGGCAACAATTTTAGGAGTGGAGGGGTCTGACTTCTCAAGTAGCTCTTGCAGGTGGCTGACGTCATTGTGACGGAAAATGAACTTCTTCACTCCGCTGTTTCTTATACCCTGGATCATTGAGGCATGGTTGCCAGCGTCAGAGTAAATTTCACAACCTGAAGGAGTAAACACATTTAAAAGAAGTTACATTTACTACTATGGATTTCAGTAAATCAGCAAAAACATGGAACTTAAGGTCACATATTTACCTACTTAATTTAATTTACCTGGAAGCATTTTTGCCAGAGTAAACAACGTGGAGTCATTGGCTACAAAGCAGGAAGTGAACAGCAATGCGGCATCCTTCTTGTGCAGGTCGGCTAGCTCCTGTTCCAGTTCCACGTGAAATTTGCTCGTCCCTGAAATATTTCGTGTGCCTCCAGCACCGGCACCGTGCTTTCTTACAGTCTCCCTTTAAGAAAAAAAAGAGTTGCTTTATTATCTTAAAACCTTTTATTCTTGTTTTTTTTGTCAGTCTGATTCAAAATAATCAGCATCTTCATATGATTTCTGATCAATGGGGATTACGGGGGATCCCTAATCAGTGCGCCAACTCACATAATTGTCTGGGTGACTTTGGGGTGACGACTCATGCCAAGGTAGTCGTTGCTGCACCACACAGACACGTCTCTGCGGGCATAAACTGACTCTGAGAAGTCGTCTGCCATGGGGAATGAGGAGGCCAGCCTGTTCACGGTCTTAAAAACCCTGTACGTGTGATCCTTCTTCTTGCCTTCAATCTTCTTTTCAAAATACTTGTCATACTGGAAGGTCATGGCTAATGGACAATACATGGAAAAAGGATTTTAGATGCTTCAACAAAAATCTATTTAAGTATTTTTGTTCATTTTGAACATTTCTTTCTTACCGTCGGGCAGATTGTCCTTGAGCAGGTGAGACACTTTGGAAGGTTTAAAAAACGTTTTTGGTGTCTTTGTGTTGTTTATGTCTGCCTCGATAAGATCCACAACTGATAAATCCACATCTTTTTTCCCTGTTTAAGAAAGATGTTATCTTAATAAATGCATGACATCAACTTGCTATGAACATGTCACCAGAGTGTCAAGGCTACAAGCCATGACCTTTTACAAATGACAAGACCGACTGTATGTGTATTCAACTAACGGTGTGGCTGTGTGTTTGCTTACCTGTGCGAACAGAATGCATTTCCTGGACGTCCTCTTGCAGCTCCATGCGGGCCTCTCTTACTACCCTGTTGTTTTTCTGCCCCATTTCTGCAGCCAGGAAGGGGCATTTGGAGCCTGCAGTTTGACCAGCAGGTGGCGTAAAGTGACCTGGGGGCATCTTAACTTCCTGCTTCTGATCTAGGGACAGCAACACAGTAAGCTGTCTACAGAATTACTATTGTTAGCATTAAAATATTTTGAATTGTGAAAGAGGTAATCATACATAATAGGATGCATTACAACTGACCTTCATTTGTTGGTGTGCCTTTGGACGAAGAAGCTGAAGAGGACAGTGCTCGGGCCAGAGGTCTGGAGGCCAGGTCCATCATCACGGGGCATCTTTGGGCATATCTCCCCAGCGACACCTTCCCAGCCAGATACAGAACACCGGGAACTACAGTGAGGAAAGGGCACCGGCGGATTGCTGCCTCCATGTGAGATACCCTTGAACTAAATTAAAAGGAGAAAAGACAATCAGTGAAGACAACCCAGTACATACACAACACAAAGATCAGACATTAAAATGCAACCTTAAATAAAAGGTGGATAGTATACCATAGGCAGTGTAATGAAGAAATAATCCAATTCATCAAAGTACCATTTTTTAACAGGCAACATTTTTTTACAAAAATGATCCCCTAAAAATCTTGCTCTCCGTTGTCTCCTTTAGTGCCACTCTTTTACCTGAACACATCCCAGTCCACCTTGAAGTAACACAAAAACCTCTTGCGAAACATGACGAAAAACTCCACACTGACCAGCGAGACCCAAGAGAAAATGATATTTAAAACCAGAGAGAACACTTTCATTCCTGCTTCCCTGTAGTCAGCTGTCCTTGACAAGTCTGAGAGGGAAGGCCTCTCAAGGACCTGTCTTGAAACGAAGGAGAAAAAGAGCCATCTGGCTGCTGGTGAGATAGAACATATGAAGGCTATAGGCTATATGAACTGTAACAGACTAACCATCACATATATTACTGGGTCTCATAAGATCCACCAAGTGGAAAGTTATGTTATGTAAAGTCTATACTGTATAGTCTCTCCTTTGCATTGACAATGTTACCGATTCATAACTGCTTTATTTCTAGAAGTTAACATTTTCTTGAGGAAGCTGACCTTGAATCAGAATAAAAATGTAAAATGACCACTGTTGTACAACGGATTAACAACACTTAACACAACTTTCTTTTATCATGTTTTACATTTAACCAATCGATAACAATTTTCACAGAATCGCAACCTAAAGAAACCCCAATGGAAACCCCAATGGAAACAGTATTGACAGAGATCTAAATATGCAAAAGTGGTAAAAACAATATATTCCACAGCATCCAGTTGCTTTTACAGATTTTTAGAAAAGAGTGTAAGCTTACAAAAATAAATCTCATAAAATATTCACACTGGAACTGAACAGGTATGTTTTGAAAATCAGTTTTGATCAATAAAAGCCAATTAAGTCAAGGTTTTAGTGATGGAAGACAAAAACAGTTACTATCTTATTTTGAAGGAGCTAGACATGAGACAGGAGCACCTGTCATGTAAACCATCCCGGCTATAAACCCTCATGCAGTTCTTACAGTAACCCACCTGGTTTGTGGTTTAAATACTGCGCAGCCTTATGCTCCTCGCCAATTTTCCAGTCGAATCTTTTTGGGAAGAAACTACAGCTGGAGAAATAACATTTCGGTCACCGCAATGACGTAGCGGTAGTATGTTGCACAATAAAGGAGCCCCGCCCCCCAGCAGTCACATAATCCTGCCAAAGATCGTCTATTGAAACAGGAAGCCTCGTCTGTTCCACTGAACACAGAAACTAGTTATACACAGTTTATACTTTAAATGTAAAATAACACTTATTTTTATTGGAATTCGATAATGTGTTAAAATTACTAGATTGTTAACCAATTCTAAATAAGATCTCAGTGGTATGAAGCATGTAAATCAATGAGTCATTTTACCCGAGTATTTATTTTGGTGGAATAAGTAATCAGTGTTCATCCTTGACTTTACAATGAGTACAGTCCTAATTTAAAGTACAAATACATAGGTATTATCAGGAATATGTTATTCATAGTAAAAGTATTTAGTACATTGTCTCTAAATATTATATTTTAAATAGCATGATATTGTCCTGTCTATTTTTGTTCTGAACAAACTAATAAGATAATTTTGTTTTTGTTAACTTGTAATGATGTAAATAAGTAGGGAGCTTATACTTTTCGATAAATATGTATTTTGACTACCACTCCCACCACTAGTACATGAAATTAAAAACAACTAAATATACGTTTGTAAGGGGGATCTCAACCTTTTTTATTTCCCATGTTACTCAAAGCAACTGCTTAGATTACAAACAAACTTTAAAAAAATCTATATTTCATTAGAGATGTAACATTTCTTCAGCGCCCAATTTAATATTATCATACTTTTTCTTTCTGAATTACCCTCGTACTGTAAAATGTATGGTTAAAGTAAGCCCACATTGATAAAGTAAAATGGCCCTCGGCTCTTAACATAAGCCTTGAAGCCGGCTGTCGAGCCTAACAGACTGTTTACCTGTATCATTCATGAGCATTTTTAATGGGGTCTTTACTTACATGATCAACCTTACAATGTTACCCAATTCTCCCATCTAAGAACCCTGTCTCCACCTACTGGAGAACAGATGTTATGAAAGAAACACCAGTGCGAGCTGTTACATGTTGTGCATTAATGAATGGGCTGCCTCAGTAATACCAATTCCAAAGCAATAAATAACTCATCTGCTCAATTATGTGCACCAGCGTTCAGTGGTTGTAAATCCAGCGAGACAATGCTGAAACAGTTGTAGAGTAATTAACACCATGAATGAAACTGATCGACATAGCATGTTTTGGGACTTTGCCGCAGCACGTCCACACATCTTGGAAGTATAAACAAGACCAACAACATGCTTTGACTTGTCAATAGGAATTACAGTTTTAATTATAGGATTAGACATTTATGAACTGCAATTAGAAAACACACACACACACACACACACACACACACACACACACACACACACACACACACACACACACACACACACACACACACACACACACACACACACACACACACACACACACACACACACACACACACACACACACACACACACACACACAAATATACAAATCAAACAAACTAATTTTTTTTCAATCTGTCTGGCGAGTCAGGCAGGACAGATACATTTAAGATCTTTCTTTACTTGTGCAACCAGCTCTAGCACTTCCCTTGTTATTCCGCTAGGTGGCAGCATTGTGTTCAAACCCAGCCTCCATAACGCAGCTTATTGGGCAGGTAAATGTTGGTGAGGAAATCTGGAGCAATGGCTGCTAGTGACTGTATTTCAGCTTTGACCTTACTCCGCTGCATCATTTCCATCTGCAACATGAGCAAACACAGATTTAAGGAGCATGCAGGAGGAAGTCGCAAACAGGCATACATCTTCAGGTGTTTATCTCAAAGCACAGAGTGGCTCTTAAGTATTCTCAGCATCAGTGAGCGGAGAGTCCTCTCACATGCATTCCTATAGCGTGTGTCAGATGAGCAAATATGTTAAAATTGTGTAAACTTTGAGGAATAAAAAAAAAGGATAATTTACCTAAGAAGGCTCATAGGTGCGGGGAGTGTATTTGGTTAGCTGTGTGTGTGATATGGACAAAATGACCTCTCACAGTATTGTCTTTTACTGATAAGGCTTATTGACCTCTGATAATGATCTGTTAGCTAACATCAAGCCAATCAATTGAATGTCTTTAGTGTTTTGGTAGAACAAATACTCATGAATGGAAAAAGATTAAATTAGGTTTTCTAATGTTTGGACAGAATAAGGTTTATTAAACAGACATGAGAACTACTAAAATTATATCAAACACAAAAAGCTATGGAGATAAAATGATCAATAATAATGAATCATTTCAGCCCCACGACCACTTCACTTGAAGTAATAGTTTCAGTTACTTCCCTTCATTGCTCTTTATTTAGCTCTGCATGTTCCCCCCTCAGCTCTCCCCTAAAGCACTTTCTGTCTCACCTCTTTCTGCCAGTCTGGTTGGCTGGCTGAGTACGGCCTTTGGAGGAGGCTAATGAGTTTACTTTCATCTCTCTTGGTGAGGGGGATCAAAGCGTCCTCTGGAACCCGCAACCTAAAGAATGAAATGTTGATTTAACTAAACAGAACCAAATTGATTTTCTAAAAATGACAGCAGCCAGTTCTGTTGAATGTCGTCCCCGCAGTGCGTCTCCTCCCATTCTCAACAGACTCCCATTGAGGAGTTATTATGTGTATGTTTAGGGAGAAACATAGGAGGAGAGAAGTCTACAGACTACAATTAAATGTATGTCTAAAAGCCATTTTGGCCTTAACTTGTTCAAGGGGACGTATACTTAAAACTCAATCTGCTCCAAGATGCAGTGGCTTGAAGTGGAAAAAAAGTGAGGGCGACAGCAACAGAAACCAAAACAAATATAGAATAAAATCCCAATTAGAGGTAGGAGGAGGAAGTAGGAAGTAGCAAATGTTGAGTCCAAACCTCTGGAGGTCAGAGGGGAGGAGGCCTAGCCACATAACGCTGGGGACGGTCAGACTGTGGGCCTCAAACGACATGGACTGTGGAAAAACCAACGCACATCAAAACACACATAAACAGACGCGCAGAATGCTTATACACATAATATATCTCAAATAAACACACTAATCAGCAAGATACCGTACCAACATGATGTGGTTATGTCCAACACATGTTCAAAATAAAGTTAATGAACACGAGGATGATTACACAAACATCCCAGAGGTCAACAAAGACTTTGCCACACAATAACTCAACATTTTCACCCCATACACTGTCAGTTTAAATATACGAGATGGATGATTTGTTTGTTTTTTTAACAGATACTGTAGTTACATATTGCTAACAAAGACACTGTGGATATTGTACAGTACAGGAATAAGTGGCATAGCAGGACTCACCAATGATCCGTACTTGTAGATGCACATGATCTCAATTCCTGGGAAAATCAGAGGGAGAGACACAGACACGCTGCAATCACCGACATACCAGAGCAATTATCCTCCGTGGTGTGTAACGGAGCTTAGAACAAAGTAAAGCATTACATATGTGTCTCGCCATGCGATGGGAAAAGGTTTTAGAGGGATGGACACTGACGGTAACTGAGCCATCCCGGCAGGATCAGATCCCGCCAGCGGAAATAACAGTCAGACTAGAAACCATGACGCAGCGCACAGGTGCTAACATCTGCTGGATTAGTGGCACAAGCAACCCAACTGTGTGTGTGTGGAGATGAAAAGACAGGCAAATGTTTGTAACTATGTGAAGTATGTGTGAGAGGTGCAAATGGTTTGCAATTTAGACAGATGTTAGCTTACCATGCGGGTCAGCATCCACCAGAGCGAAGATGGGGATGTGCAGCGTGTCCCAAAGCTTCCTCACCATCAACCTGCTGTTCACATCTGGCACGCCTTTACCCTGCTCCACACAAACACATCGGTTATGCAGACACTTATACTGGCTATTGGAGAAATTCCTAAAAATGTAATTAAAAGAGAATATATAAAAAGTGAACCCACTGTAATCATGATGCAAGGAGACAGCTTTGTGCAGAAGTTGTCATCCAGCAGTCTCTGAAACGTTGCATCCTTCTCTACTATCATGACAAACTTTGCAGAGGAGACAATATCTGTATATGGTTGAGGAAAAGAAAGACCCTGCATCGATTTCCTTACAATATATGACATTCTCAGAGGTACCGGAGAGTGACATAAAGGGAAAGTCATGTGAAAACAGTGTAAAACTCTCAGACAAATCCCAAAGGATACTTCTAATCCCTGCAATGTTTGATGAAACTGCAGAAACCTAAAACAAAATACAGAAATACAAATCAGTTCAACTAAACTAAATGTAGTCCTTTCTGACACATGACTTGCAGTATTGTTTCTTTAGTGGGAAACACATGGTAAAAACATGAAAATATACAATTTGAAACCCTTTTTACCATGAAGATTTCTCAGAGTACCCTAAAGTATAGTGTATATAATTTATAAATTATTTATAAATTATTTATAATTTTGGCGAATTGCAACTTTAAGGTGCATACCGCCACCTACTGTACTCGCCGTGAAGTTGTTTGCGGCCTGCCAGTAAACCCAAAGCAGAAGAAGAAGTGACGTCAGCGGCTCATTTGCCTAATCCACCCCCAGGAACTCATTTTGGTGTGAACGCGATCTGCTTTAGTTCATCAGAACTAAAAGAGCTCTCATGAACTAAAGTTCTCATGAACTACTGTGGGAAAAGTACTTGGTGTGAACGCCCCTGTGTTTTTCAGTTAATGGGGCAGCTAGTTCGGGTTATTGAAGGAACTTACAACCGTGCTGGAGCGGCAGTCGATCCTTGTGCCGTCCGCCTCCATATAACACAGATCCCCAGAGATTAATCCCTTGGATGTGGCCAACTGTTGACATAAAAGTAAGACACGCAAGTTATCGCATGCTCATATTAACACATGCATTTGCACACATCTGAAAAGGTTTGAATTCAACTTTCATTCAAGTTCTGTTTGATCAGAGGAACCTTTTTACTCCACAGGTGTTTCGGACAATATGAAGCAGAAAATAAACACTAAACTAACAGAGTTGATCTGTGGCACCTGGACTAATAATAACAAAGCATATCCAACATGTTTTGTATCACTCGGTGGGTATATTTTACCATGCAAACACACACAACACATTAACATGGACATACACACTTACCACATGTAGAGATCTGCGAGGAACCTTAAGCATGCAGGAGATATCATCCACAATGATATCAACATTTCTCTGTGAACCAAACAGCTGTGTATCGTTGTAATAGATGTCTCTGTGGAATACAAAATGTTCATCTTCAAACTGAGGAGTAACCCAGCAAAACAAAACTTCTTACCAAGAAAAACCTGTGTGAGTGTGAACTGATGACAAATACCTTTTGGTTGCATAGGAGTTGCTCTGCACAAGTTTGTAGATGACCATGAAAATCTTCGTAATTTGTGCTTTAAACAGGAAAAATAAAATAAAATAATTATTATGAATACTTTTACAGTTATCACATCTTTAAAAAGTACTGGAGTGGAGGAAAATGCTGTTCCTAATTAGGATATCCATGTGGTAAACTGATCCCTAAAAGCCTTTTTCAACATATACTGTCTCTTCCAATTTGTTACCCTAAACTAAGTCGGACTTTTACTGCCGTATGTGCAGTTCGTGCATGTGTTCACAATGAATAGAAATGAAAGCCACATGAAGTACAGTACAACTTTAGTTTTTTTGACTTAAAGGAATTTCGGTTGTCATGAACAGAAAAATAACAGCAGAGGTGCGAGTATCTTCTTACCAAATTTATCCACAGACATCGGACAGTCGCTCCTAACGGCAGTGACAGAACTTCCTAAATTCATTTGAAGCCCGATGGAACTGTCAAAACTTAAGTGGGAAGTAATGAAAGAAAAACAGATTGAAATTTAAGTGGAAGGGTAGTAAAGAAAAGAAGCCATCATTTACTTTTTAGCTTTGAAAATCAGCCCCCCACATGTAAGCCATCTGAAATTCCCTACACCCTCAGGGCTACCTGAGTCCTGATTCCTGTGTGAAACCTTTGGTGCTCAGTCTGTGGGATTCTCACATTTGAAAGGGCTGAGCCATAGTGTGCTTCAAGCTGCGGCAAGGTTTGATCCAAACAAGACCAGACAGTCTTCTTTGTTGTGAGCATAAGGTCTCTGCAGACTAGTCGCATTAAAGCTCTTTGTATATTTGAGTTTGTGTGGGTGTGTGTAAGACAGTGATTTTAAATACCTATCATGCTGTCATCTTCTATGCAGCAGGAAGTTATTTTAACTTCAATCTCTCTGAACCACAGTTGAAAGTTACTTTTTTCCTACCACCTGGTTGCTCATTAAGATTCCTAACTTCACCCTTAATGCAAATAGAGAGAGCCGTGTTGGATTAAACACTAATGTGATCATCTTGTGTGGCCTGACCTACAAAACCTATGTAGGTAAATGTTTATTTATTTATTTACACAACACGACTGTTTGTGTTTATCTTTAAAAGGTCAGATGGATTAAACGGATCTCCACAAAGTCGGTGTTTCAAATGACTGCAGTGTTCAGGGTGGGCTCTTCATGCTACAGCGTGTTTAAATAAAGTTACCTGATGTTGTCCCAGTTGGATCTGTCGGGCAGTGCCAGGACAGGGGCCTCATCTCTGGAAAGACTTGTCACTATTCCAAGGATAACGTTTTCAATGCGGTTCAATATTTCCCCGCTGGAAAAGAAGATACAGTGCTTTGAATATAGGCTCGCAAAAACCTAGCAAAGGGGATCTGAATTTTTTTAAATAATACTTCAGATCCACCAACAATATTTATATATGTTGGAGAGTATTGAACATTAAGGAAGTGCCTGATAGGTCAAGGGTCTTACAATATTGCCCTGTACATTAATTTGTAATATTGTCAACAAGTCTTATATTTGAGATATAAACGTGATAAAGACTATATTACAGTACTGTTTAAAACATTATATAGCCTACTTTTGTGAAGATTTTGAATTTTCCCCTGTGTAAGTCTTATCTTATAACAAAATAAGTAATAAAAAGTGGATTGAAAACAACAAAAGTTGCGTCTGAATTGTATTGGAGTATAAGAAAGTGGAAATGCTCAGGCAAAATCCCTCAAAATGTAACCACTTAAGACTTACTTAAGTGGTTAATTGTTACTTAGTGTAATGTAGTTACTTTCCACTACTCCTTGCTGTGTAAGATACCTGTTATATATGTTCCAAATAAAGATTATTCGGGCGAATTAATTATGTCTTAAGATTGTCAAATCAACAAATCTTACTCTACACATGTTTGTTAGACAGAACTAGATAGTGAGGGACATAGATATAAATTAGCTAACCAGCTGTCATCAGTGTGGTGACGTAATTACAGTGCATAGTAAAATCTAACTTTAGCTAAATTGCACTTTGACAAACTAATCAATCATTTACCAAGCTACATTATAATTAAGAAATTAAAATACCAGATGCATTGACCGTTGCATTGCTAATGGAGAACCACTATGGCACCTGTTACACCACACTGGGAACCAGGATTGAAACTAGCTAAACCAATTTAATATTATGTTAACTTACGGGCTGATTTCTTTTTCGACACGCTGGCAGTCTGATATGACTTGGACTTTCTTTAGCAGTTCAGCACGGAGCTTGTCAATTTCTGAAAAGAACTCAGCACAACGGGATTCCATTTTGTATGATCACTGACATCCAACTGTAAATTAATTTAATAAAAGCCAGGACGTTCCCGCGTAAGGGTTTTGTGGACATCTCGCGCGATTTGGGAAGCTGGCTGATTGGCTGAATTTAAATCCGGAAGTATTCACCTTGCAAAATTGTTTGTTTTGAACATGGACCATGGATGTTTAAAGAGAACATGGACCCAAGAAACTGAACAACAATTAGGATAAACAGTTTTGCCATATTACATTTTGCACGGTAAGAATGTATTCACAGCATTCTTTTTTAATGTAGTTTATATTAACTGTTACTGAATGGGGTTCAATTGGGGAAATCGTTGTGTACATATTAGCCCGTGTGTGCACCTCATAAGTTACATAAAGCAGTTAAAGTAGTTGTTTGTACACTTATCTTTTTTTTTTTTAAACATTCAAGTATTTCCAATCTGCCATGTGTCTTTAGTTTGTAGGGGCAACTCCATAATTAAGGATACATTAAATCATATTTTCTCTTTTGTAATTTATTTTTCTAATGCACTTGGTAGGTCAGTAGGGCTCTGACTGCACTTGTGTTGAACCCAAATAGTCTATAGACTGTGTATATATATATATATATATATATATATATATATATAAAGGTTGATGAAGCTCTGTGGCTCTGTGTAGCTGCACGTACTTCCACCTGGTAAATAAGAGTACATGGTCATTATTTCCATCACACAACTACTGCTTAGCATGATTAGCATGATTAACTTTTGTTGCCACTTAGTTGTTGTTGTAGTTTTTAATAACATACCACTAACTCTGTCACAATTACTGATGTCCTTACAGGCCCATAGCCTGGAAAAGTCGGCAAGCAGCTACCAGTCTTCGTTTTCAAGCGAAAGGTCAGTGCACATTTCCAAGCTTTGTCCATTAATAACATCCAGGAATGTAGTGTGTGGGCCAGTTAGCACCCCATTGGTGTAAGGTACTAGGCCTGGTGGTGTTAAGTAAAATCCCCATTAGCCCCGTCTGTAACACTCAGTAATGAGACCCTTTATGTGAGCGTGCTGCTACTTGTCCAACATTTTGTCTACTGTATGTGTTTCTGTTTGTGTGGGTGGTGGTTTCCAGTAGGGTGGGTCGGGGATAATTGACTGTGGTTAGAGTCCAAGAGAATCCTAATATATATTGTATCTGTCAGCCATGTGGAAGTGATTTCTAGATATCATTTTGATCCTGGTTGTGTGTAACGATAATGCTGGCCAACATGTGTTTTAGGGCTATAAATGTAGCTTACTCTGTTTTAAGGCAGTTCAGCAGTTCATGAATCAGACACTTATTGAGTAAGTATGGCTCTTTTAAGCTCCAAACATTAAAATTGCATTACTGAATATTAAGCCTTGAGAAAATCCCACGTATATCTTTTTCCACTACCTTTCAAAATCTGTTTCATTCTCTTTGTTGCATCATGTTGCAGTCATGTCGCGGTATTGTAAAAACAGATAAATGTGCTTAGATTCTAAAACTATTAGGTCACACACAGTCCCCACCTTCAACAATTGCTGGCAGGCACGCTGTGTGTGTTTGCGGAGGCACTGCGGTCTTTCTCTCACAGTGTGAAGGCCTGATCAGAGTGTGTGGGAGCCGGGATCTAAAGAGAAGAGGTCTGTGCCCCTGACCTGACCCTGAATATTTCCTAATGTGCAGCTTTACCAAAGGTCCCCCTTTCTCCTGAGTGGCTTTGACAAGCTGCTTCCGTAGTAATGGCTCTTAATTTCGGAGTAATTGCTATCTCTAGGTGATGATGGACAACCCCTCACCCAAGCTGAAAAAATCTTAACATGTGGAAGACCACAGGTTGTAAGGGTCCTTTTTTCTTCTGTTCCAGAAAGGCTGAGACCCCTGCTGTTCTTTTGGTCCGGGAGAGATTTGTGTCGAGTGTGAGGCCCTAACCTGAGGAGACAGAGTGCAACGAGTCATGTGCTTGTCTTGGGATGAGTGTTTGTACTGGGCAGGAGGGGGGAAACATGGGGGAAGTAAGGGGCTGCAGGGTCAGAGGAAAGAAAGTGGGGGCACTCGCTGCAGGTGAGGGGGATTAGCTGCAGCTAGAGGCCCAAAGAAACTAAATACAGATCTGTCAACCTAATCCTCACAAATAGAAAACAGAGCTGCCCTCCCTTCACAATCCACATAGTTTAGCACATCCACCTCCTGCTCCTCTGCCCCCCCCCCCCCCCCCCACTTTCTACCCCAGGCTCTGCTGCTCCTCTGTTTCTCATCAGCTTTTGGCCTGGACTAGTCTGGCTATGCCGCCTCCTCTCTAATGGCTCCTCAGACCAGCATCCCCTAAAGAGGAGCTGACTGAGCACCCAGGGTCCCCTCTGATTGACAGACGAACACAGCCTTACAGAGTGATGAGAGCAAGAGTCAAAGGGGCAAGGCCTCTCTCTGCAGAGACAACAATCTAAATAGGACCTCTGCCGTGAGCTGCATGGACCTGAGGAGACCTTTATCAGGCCCTCACACCTCAGTAATGGATGCTGATAAGTATGTGGCTGGCTAGTTGAAGACGCCAGCTCAGCGTCAAGCCCGGACTCTGTGCCGATGACACAAGTGACAGAGTGCCTGAGTGATAACATCCTGCAATGGATAAGCTCTACTAAGCCAGGCATTTTGGAAAGCTTTGCTAAAACGGTATCTCAGTGACACCAGCTATAACTGATGGGTCTGGCTGGACTGCTGAGAGCTATGAATCAGATCCGAGCTACTCTGGTGTTCCCCTGCACCATATCTGGCTGCAGACAGAAGCAGTAGTGACAGGATATGCCGGATACAGGCGAAAGTAGGTACTGAGTGATGGGAAGAAGGATTGCAATGTGCAGGATTTTCAAATACAATCATTATGTGTTCCTCATAGAATCTCTGAATGCTTTTTGGACATGTGATGCTGTAATGAAACTGAATCTTTCAAATAATATGCAGATATTAAAAATGAGGTACGGATTTGCGCCAGTTAACATTCTGTTAAATATTTGTAAAGTGCTGATTATACAAAAGCTTAGCCAATATTATATTTCAAATTGTTTTTAACCTGCATGGAAATTAGTCTTTTAGCTTAATAAATAGTCTATATGGCCAAACATTTAGGTCCTAGACATGAAGTGGAGTTTCATTTGAATAATGCAAAACTTAATAGTTTTTATAAGAGGAATGCACTAGGATTCAATAGTTCTATACTGAATCCAGAATGTTAAAAATTCCTTTTAACCCAAAACCTAAGTTGGATTTACCAAGTGAACTATTTTGAAGCTGTTTCATATACCAACCCCCTCTTTTTCTTCTGCCTGTCTCACAGCTGTGTCTCATATGTTCATGAGGCCCCTGGAAGTGTGAGACACCAGAAGGGAACATTTGCAATAGCTCAGCTCCACCTAGTTTGGCTGTTTTAACAGGCCGCTGGTTTGTGCAGTGCACACAGTGGGGTTACGCCAAAAACGTAGACAAGGGCGGACAGGACAGGCAGACCGGGAAAGGAAAAAATGTGCCTCCACCCTCTCTTGTCCTTGCACCCCGACCCCACACTGCTTCATTTGAGGGTCCGTTTACATTGAAAGAAGTTTTACTGTATCGTCTGTGGGTCTGCTCGGTCAGACCCCCCTCCACCAAACCTCATCCGCCTCCCCGCATGCACAGGTCTTCAAAGGACTGCTGCCTGCTGCTCTCTTGAGGCAACACATGAAATAAATATTAATCTGACCTCTGACCGCATGCTTTTGAGCTCCTAAAAAGAGATAAGCAGACATATGGGAAAGGTAACTCTTACCATAGATAAAAAGGAAGAGAAAGAGGGAGAAGTATAATGTGAGGATGAAAAGTGTTTTCTTGTGTTCTTGTGGGGTTTTAAAGAGTTTCCAGGGATGTTTCACTGCATTACTGTGTGGTCTTCTTTGGAGCTTAGTATCATGCTCCAACCTGTTGGAGTGGGGAGGTGTGTATTTGTGCAGATTGTCTAAGATCATAGTAGGAAGAGTGTATATGTGTGCACTCAAAATGCCTTATGCCAAGAGACTGATTTTGAGCTAAATGGAATTTGAGATTGATAACTGCCTAAATAGAGAACAGGAAGATGCAACTGACCATAAATATGAGAAATAAAGATATTTATGAGCTCACCTTTGTAAGCCCTAAAATAATAAGACTTCATAGTCATGGTTGTTCAGCAGCTCAGTTCTGCCCTCGAGTGATTTATACTGGCTCTCCTGGCAAAAGTGCATCCACTTTTCTTCAATAGCCATGTAGGCAGGTAGCATTGTGTGTAATATTTGACTACTTGATCATTTTAAATGTAACAGTTTGCAACTCTTGATGTCTTAATAGGGAATTGGCTGTTTGCATCTCAGACAAAAGTGTGAAATACATTAGAAAAATGTTTTTATTCTTTTGCCAGTTTTTTCTTTGTGTGTGTCATTGACGGAGGTTCAAACACTATTTGTTCTGCTTTTCTGCTTTAGTTCTCCTTGTCAAAGGCCCCTCAGTGCAGCTCACCCAGCCTGGCCTCAGCCTGTGCCCACTGTTTACTGTGACTGTCATCGGGCCCATGGAGGCCCAAACAAAGGGGGGTCTGTTCCTATTATCCTACCCAGAATTGTCAGCCCCTCTCTGGGCACAGACTGAGCAAAGGGCTGGGGTTTGTTGGAGGAAAACCGGGGAGTTTGACCTCGCCAACCTTACAGCGAGGGTGAGAGGGCAAGAGAATAAGTGTAAGACAATGATAGAGGGGAAATAAAGTGAGAGAGACAGGAAGATGTATAGTTATAACTGAAACCAAGACCCTTTCAAGTCCCCTGTTGGAAACTGCTGTAATGTAAACACCTGCGGCCATTAGCTGATTCTATCTGAGGCACCGGATAGAAATGTTTATATGTTACAGGCTACTACTGAAAGGCTATTTAAAAGCAAATAGTGGATTAGATATACAGAATGAGTAGTGGCAGGCTGTGTAGGCTTTCAGGCTTTAAGCCATGTTGAATTGTCATTGGAAAAAGACAAGTGAAATGCCTTTGAAGACAAGAACGACCATATTAAATGGGCAGGAAGGTGAGCTAAGTGTAGAAGACCCCAAGACACGCTCTGCCTCCTTTCCTCCCTTCCTCTGTTTGCAATCATAGCTTAAGCCGTCTGGCAGCAACTCGTGCTGTGCCATTGAAGTCCAATTTTATTGCCATAAAAATCACCTGGCAAGCTATAGCCCTAAAACATCTTAACTGCAGAGCCTTTAAAACTCCACTCTGGGTAGTGAACAGGTTTTAGGAGGTCTGTCTAGATAAAGCATTGGTTCCTGGTGCATCTGAAATCCCCCGGCCTGTATCAGCGAGCGCACAAGAGGGTCAGGAGCGTTCCATTAAAGTTTGGTGTTTAAGAGGTGCTGGGGCCAGGGGGGCAGATGGAGGGATGAAGCAGCTGCCAAACATCTGCACCCCACCTTCGCAGTCTGCTTTGTGTCTGTGCACCGCTGCCTTTGTCACAAACTTCCTGCACCAGCAGTGGGGATAGAAAGCTTGGATATTTTCAAATATGTGGCATGAGATGGCCCTTTTGAGCTCTAGTGCTTCTTTCTTTGATACAAAATACAAAGACCACTGACTTTTTTTTAAGTCTCACAACCATAAGAACCTAGGTATTCACTCGGGTGCACCTGTGGATTGCAGAGTAACTATTACAGCTGTGCAATTTCATGTTGCATCCTCTCCCAAAGTATTGTAGTCACCCACACAGGCAAATAATTACTCTCTGAAATGATGTCTGTTATTTTCCATAAGCACACTATCACTAAGGGGCCTATTGTAACCGGCTGGACAACTGTAATTATTGATTCAACAAGAGCATTGAGGTGCGCCAGGTACATGTGCTTCATCATACACTTAAGCATTATACCTTTAATCCGTTTTGTATTTGCACATGTAGCCTCAAGCCTTCTCCAACTTGTTACAAAGGCCAAAATTCGCTCTATCCCCATTAGAAACCACAGCCCCCCCCTCTCCCCCTCTCTCTCTCCTGCTCCTCCCAGCACACAGCGCCTCCTCACAACTTGCTCGTGTCTCTCCCGGTGAAACGCTTGTGCTCGCAGCCTCCTCTACTCTGCAGAACAGGTTGCACCACAGTTGGTAGTTGTTGGCCACTGGCTGCGGATGAGGACAGAGGTCCGCGTGAGCTCACTCTGCCCAGAAAACCAATCATCTAAAGGACTTTGAAGTGAAGTTGATGTTTCGTTTGGGCGCACTTCCCTCAACATGAGGGTCCGTACCTGACTTTCGATATTGGACACAGCCGCTGCCTGTTGCTACAAGTTCAATATCAACTTTCCAGAGTTTCGGCGAACATAACTGGGCGCAATTACGCACGGCGAGTACCATGGCACCGATTTTGGACAGACGTGCCCCGGCTTTGCTCTTGGTTTGGAGCTACTGCGTTCTGGCGGACACCGCTTTTACGAACTTTACTTTAGACAACGAGTTCCACTCCAGTTTCATCCACCGTCGACTGAAGAGCCAGGAGCGCAGGGAGATGCAGCGGGAGATCCTGTCGATCCTGGGGCTGCCGCACCGGCCGCGACCCCACCTCCACGGAAAGCACAACGCTGCCCCGATGTTTATGTTGGACTTGTACAACGCCATGTCCACGGAGGGGGACGAGGACAGATACTCCTATCCCTACAAGCCCGTCTTCACCACCCAGGGACCCCCGATACCCAGCCTGCAAGACAACAACTTCTTGAACGACGCAGACATGGTCATGAGCTTTGTCAATATGGGTAGGCACCTTTAATATGTTAGACTAAAAACGATTATAAACATATTTTAATGATGGCAAAGGTTCAGGCCACTAAAGTCATTTTTGTGCATCATTAAAGTCCAGTCAGTCTCAATGATCTCAAGCACAGTATACTAATAATAGTTTTGTGATTTAAAAAAAAGTACCATATATTCAGGGGTTTCTTTCAGAGACATTTCAGTTCCCTAAAACTGAAA